CCTAAGGAATAAGCACTCCACATACCCTGAACTCCTTCTCCCGGCCTGCTCGGCAAAGACATAGCGTTTCCCTGCAACACAAAGGACGAAGTGACAGACATAAGCAAAAAAATCGGCGGAAATCTCACGAAACCCTAGATCCACATTGCTACACACAACTATCGACTTCAAAACGAGATAAAATCGACTGCCTATGGAAAAATTACACAAGCAAAAAGAGCTACGGCAACTACAAGAATCACAAAAACAAGACGAGGGGACGATCAACACCGAGCCAAGCGGAACGTACCGAAGAAACGTATGCGGCGACGGCAGCGGGAAGGGGGGGCGGCGACAGGAACAGACAGGAAAGGGCTGCGGGAGCGCAGCAGCAAGGGCTCACGGAGCGGACAGCGACGCGGAATGCAGGAATAAGGACCTCTTGAGGGCGGCGGTTCTCCGGGCGACGGTGGTTGCTGCGCGCGGCGGCGGTTTTGCCCGAGGGAGAGATGCCTCAGGAGAAACTGCAAGAGAGGAGAGGGGATTGTTCTCGGTCTCTTTCTCTGACAGCGGAGCGGTGGAATAACCTGGAAGCGATACGTAGGACGCCCGCGTGTCGCAGAAAGGGTCACAAAAAACGGGCCGGCCCAAAAACAGCCCAGACAAAATAAGCCAGTCTACATCAAAACAGACATATTACTAAAAATAAAAAACGCACATGATGCAGTTCTCTGTGAAGAATCATGAAGTTCAAACGGTAAAACAACAATTAAAATACATACAGTTCGTAAAAAAAAGTTAAAATAAAAAACAAAACGCATGTTAAGAAAACACATCCGAAAAAAAAGTCTACCTTCAAATGAGTGCCACAAAAAAAATGTGCACCCCCCCCTCCGCTCTCCCCTTAAACCTCCCGTACAGTGCAGTAAGCACAGGCAAAAAAACAAATGCAGTACGCACTACTAGAAAAATGCAGTGCATTTCTTTACGGGATGCAGTACGACATTATGCATTTCTTTACGGGATGAAAAAAACGCGTACACGGAAAAAGTAAATGCAGTGCGGAAGTACACAAACGTGCAGTACAGTATCATAACCAATGCGGTACAATTGTAATTTGCTAAGCAGTGCAGTCCCATACATTCGAAAAAGAGATTACAAAAAAAGTAAAAACACGAGAACAAAAATGAGAACTGTACATGCAGTAAGGAATGAAGTTCACATCTAATGCATAACCATGATCAATGCCGTGCACCGATGATTTACCAAAAAGCAATGCACTCCACGACATTAAAAATCATACAAAGAATAAAAACTGATCACCCAAATGATACAGGCCCCAGCCACAAAAAAATTGACCACGTACATGCGTCTCTGAACTACCCGAACACAGGCCCAACAAAAACGACTAATAAAAAACAATAAGTTCAAAAAAAAAGTGGGGGGGCACCCCCCCCCATTCCCTACCCCTCCCGTACCAGGGACTGCAGTAAGTACAAGCAAAAACAAGATGCAGTACGGGGTGGTAGAAGTATGCAGTGCATTCTGTTGCGCAATGCAGATCGCCGAAACACATAGCAAAGACACGCAAAAAACGATGAAGTAATACACTGTTGCAGTTCTGATTTGTACGCGAGGCAGTGCGGAAGTGTAAGCAATGCAGTTATGTTATCACGCAGTATACATGAATAAAACATGAAAAAATGCCCGTTCACATAGAAAAAAGTGGTGGTTAAAAAATGTGCTGATAAAAAATAAAACAAACCCACCTAAAAAAACACATGTTCGCATACAACCACCCAATCGGAGCAGTTCCATCGCCACAAGCCCACGATCACAGATGCAAAAACAACCCATGATCTGCACAATCGCATCATCAACGCGATCGTGCAGTTCATCCGACGAGGCCATCCTACCCCGCGCCCTTCCCCTTAAATTCAGACCCCTGCCAAAGGCCTTCTCGTCCACAACAACACAATTGTCCATTGCGCTCACGCCAAATCGCCCCATATCAACGCAAAAGCACCAAGCCCTGCCACCAGCGATAAAGTTCACCGACGAGTACAAGGGCAACAACGCCATGGAGGCGCATGGCAACACCAAGTTGCACGTCATCCACACCAACGACAAGAACCAGATGGCGATCACCCTAGCGCAGTACGAGCGCCACCTCATCCTTCAGCGCCACAACATCGTCCGCATTGATCTCGAGTATGACAACGACCCTGCAGCGACGCAGAAACCCGCCGTCTGCCAGCTCTCCATCGGCAAGAATCACCCGGTGCTGCTCTTCCAAATGAGCGACACTGAAAGGTGCACCGTTTTCGACAACTTCCTCGCCGACCCCAGGTACACCTTAGTAGGCTTCTCCATCGATGGCGACAAAACCAGGCTAGAGCGCGTCAAACTGGAGGTTGCCAACTTCGTCGACATCCAGAAGGAGTGGAGGGTGCCCGAGGCAACCAAGCCGTTGGACTCCCTCGGAGACGTCTCCGGCGTGATCATCGACGACTACTATAGCAACATGAAGAAGAAGATCACCGACGACGAGCACCAGCGCTGGGCCACCCTGCCTCTGTCCAGGAGGCACATCGAGTACGCGGCAAAGGACGCCTATGCAGCGTACGAGATATGGAACCGCATCACCCTCACCTAGGACGGCCTTCGCCGTGCAAAGCTGGAGATGGAGGAGCCCCCCAAGAAGCGTGCCAGGAGCAGCTGGGCATGGGGAGAGCCTGACTGGTGAAGAAGAAGATGGTGCCGGCGAGGAGCCAACAATGCCAGCGTTCTTGTAGAATAATTATCAAATTTGCTTTGTGTTGTTTGCTTATGTATCATTAGTTTGCTTGTGTGCTGAACCTAGTTTGCTTGCCATGCAGAATCGCTTTGTAATGATGAAATCTGATTATGTTAGTTTGTTTCTGTTCAACTTAGTTTGCTGGTGATGAAATTGTCATACAGAATATCTGTGATAATTTGTTTTCTGTTGTCTACTAATGTATCATTAGATTCGAGTAGTGCAGAAAACGAAAAATGAGTTGCAGTGTGCAAACAGAAAGCATGCAGTGCAAGTTGTGTACGAATGTAGTACAGAATCTGTCGAATACACGAACCTAAATTTGAAAAAAGAATACATAAGAGCAAAACCAGAAAAAGAAAAATGCAAACACGTAAATAATCAATGAAGTACAGAAATATATGAACGTGCAGTATAGAACCATAATCAACGCATTACGCGTATGATTTACTAAGCAGTGCACTCCCATACATTGGGAAAAAAGATCACATGACAGCAAAAACATGGGAATAAAAAAATTAGAACTGTTCATGCAGTACACAATGCATACACATGCAGTACAGAACCCTGATCAATGCAATGCACACCCCCACATTGAAAAAACACATAAGGCAAACACGTAAATAATCAATGGAGTACAGAAATATATGAACATGCAGTACAGAACCATAATCAACGCATGACGCATATGATTTACTAAGCAGTGCACTACAATACATTGGGAAAAAAGTCTATATAATAGAAAAAACACGGGAATAAAAAAATTAGAACTGTTCATGCAGTACGGAATTCGTATACATGCAGTACAGAACCCTGATCAATGCAGTGCACACCCCAACATTGAAAAAACACATAAGGCAAACACGTAAATAATCAATGGAGTACAGAAATATATGAACGTGCAGTATAGAACCATAATCAGCGCATTACGCTTAAGATTTACTAAGCAGTGCACTACAATACATTGGGAAAAAAAGTCTACATAATAGAAAAAACACGGGAATAAAAAAATGAGAACTGTTCATGCAGTACAGAATTCGTATACATGCAGTACATAACCCTGATCAATGCAGTGCACACCCCAACATTGAAAAAACACATAAGGCAGAAAAATAAAAAGAAAAAAATTTGACCACCCAGGTGCTACCGGCCCCAGCCAGTCTCGTAATAGATCTGCGCCCACAGAAGGCGAGTCGTTCTGAGTCACAGTGCATGGGGCCGGCCACACATGGGCCCACAGGTCAGAGAGCATACAGCTGCGAGCGCTGTGTTCAAGCGCCCAAATAAGTAACAAGAGGAGTTCGACACAGAGGCCTCGCCACCGCTTATAAACATGTCGGGCGCGCCTTCCGCGGGCGAGGTGGGACTAAACATTAGACCGCACACAGCGCACCGGGAACCAGACGTACTCACTGGCTGACTTGGGCCCAATTGCGTCTTCACAACCAGAACACAGGGCCAACAAAGCCCACTAAGAAAAAACAATACGTTCAAAAATAAAACATCAAAAAGAAAAATGACAAACATTTTTTAAATGAATAACAACAAACAAAATAAAATGTGCGTCGGCACTGTAAGAATATTAATAAATAAAATGTAGGAAGCCTTCAGGTATTTTTTTTTTGAATTGAAGTTATCTTCACTCTGCAATGCAGTATGGCTGAAATAAGAATGCAGCCCTGTTACTTAACCAAAGCACTCCGACACCCCTAGCCACACTACTCTCCATCAACACAAACACTGTATTACCACAAAAATCAAGAGAAGAAAAGAAAGAACACCATCAAGAGGAGAAAAAAAGTACATCTCTGTGAATCATACTGCAGTACACTACATGGACCTGAGCAGTTTGTCTTTGATAGAAAAGAAGTGCACTGACTTGGACAATTGACCGAAGACACAATCATCACATTTTCTGACAGTTGCGTGAATTCAGTGATCTAATCACGAAAAAAGAGGCGACGACGTTCCGGATTTCCAATGCACTAACAAGAGCCTCCTCATAGCAGAACCTGTTAGTAGTTGCCACATAACTTAAAATAGAGCCCCACCATGCTACCGCCCCGCTCCACCTCTCCCACGTCCTGTCAGGGAGAGCAGAGGAGAGCAGAGGAGAAAACACAACTGCTTCGTTCCCCCCAAAAAAACCATTGCATCTTCTTCTCCGCTCTTCCTTTCACTAACCTCTCTCTCTATAACAAACACCAGAGAGCAGAGGAGAATCATGGCGGATGCACCTGTGTACAAGCAGCGCCGCATGTACACCAGGGAGCTCCACGACGTCCACCTCCACGGCAATCACAAGCTCCACGTCCTTTGCATAAGCAAGGCCAAAGACGTGGACAAGATGTTGTCCACGTTCAGGAGGAAGCTCGGCGCAATGCCCGTCAAACTAGTCGGCGTTGATGTCGAGTACACACACTACAAGAAGCCACAGCATGCAGCGGTGCTACAGCTATGCGTACAAAAAGAATGCCTTGTCTACCACATATCTGCAGCTAAAGACAGGTAAGAATAACTATTGCTTGTCAATATTGATTTTAAATTTTCTTCACTACAATTGCCATAATATTTAACCTTTGGTTCTCATTCTTGAAAAAGCATGACATATAAATTTATTGACAGTTTTGATCTGGCTCCATGTATGTCACTCATGTGTTCAATTCTTGAATTATATTATCTAGCAATACACGCAGTTTAATTATATTTTCTTCACTACAATATTACCATACAAAACATGTATGAAATTAGGTTCAAGAATACAAGCAGACACAAAACATGCATTGTTTATGCAATCTATTTTCAGATTTACTAGTTATGTTGAACAAAGTATTAGCAACTGCTCAATGCAACAGATTCAGATATTCATATTGCAGTTCAGTTTCAGAAAAACACAAAAAAACATTGCTAGTTCTAAAGAAATAAATGATATTCACTCTTTACAAATATATTGCAGGCCAATAGAACTAGACAAATTCCTGATCAATGATGAGTACACCTTCATCGGATTCACTATTGAAGGAGACAAAAGCAAGCTGAAGGTATCTGGTTTGGAGATCAACTCCGACAACTACATTGATATTCAGGTGGAATGGAGAGACCCATACAATAAAAAGAAGTTTGACTCTTTGGCTGATGTTGCTGGCAGGATGATAGACATTCACTACCATGACATGAAGAAAAAAATTAACCGCAAGGAGGACCATACTCTGTGGGGATTTTGCCCGCTGCCAGAAAAGCTTATCAAGTATGCAGCAATAGATGCATTCACAACATATGAGTCATGGAGAATCATCTACGATGTCATAATGGGACTGGACAGGGCAAAAAGAGACAAAGAAGAAAAGAAGAAGAAGAACAAGGCTGTATTCCAATACAGCTACTAGAAAAAATCAGGGTTGTGTTTAGTTTCACTTTACTTTAGGCATTGTGTTGTTCTTTGTTTCATGTATGCAAGATTTTGATAATGTCCGTTGCTTCATATCGAACATTTCTTTTATAAAAACAATGTCAGTTTGCTTGTGATCAATTGCTTTCGCAGAAATTAGTTTGCATTAGAACAAGTATCTACACAACTTTGAAAAATTTAATGAGTGATACCAAAATATACTATTCACATACAAAACATATTCAAAACCAAGATTAAACAAAAAAATTAGGTAATCTGACTACAAACTCGGACATAAAAAAGAAAAAAATTAATGCAGTTCACAATCGTAAAAATTAATATTGATATATCTAAAAAAATATAATCCGTATACCTTTCTAAACAAACGTGAATAAAGTTCACAGAACGAACATAAGGCAGTTCAACAAGTGTATGCATGAAGTGCAGTACATGCATAAATGAAGAACGACAAGGGCCCCAACACACACACACACACACTTGCTACACAAAGTGCAGTACTCAACGTTGGTGCAAGCAGTACAAATGACATCATTTTTGTTTTACCATCAAAGGGGACGCGCGCAAAAACCCTGGAGCCAGACCCCTAAGATAGACAGGGGGCGACGGGGTATGACGGGCTCACCTACGCATGCGGCACCGCGGCAAGCCGCGTTGCTGCCTGCTCCGGCTCGTTCCAGGCTCGGCCTCACAGGGGGGTGTGGAGCGGGGGTCACGACCCCCCCTCCCCACCCCCTGCTCGGCCTCGCGCTAACGCATGCAGTGCGCTTGGTTGACAGGCGCAGTGCGGACATTCTATTTTTCC